GTGGGTGGATGGGGTGTGTGTGCGTGCGTGCATGTGTGAGTGTGTGCGTGCGTGTGTGGGTGGGTGGGGTGTGTGTGTGTCTGTGTGTGTGCGTGTGTGTGTGTGTGTGTGTGTGTGTGTGGTTGGGTGTTGGAATTAGACAAGAAAGGGGGACAAGGGGAACGTTGAAATGGTGCGTGTGTGTGTGTGTGTGTGTGTGTGTGTGTGTGTGTCTGTGCGTGTGGGTGGGTGGTGTGTGTGTGTGTGTGTGTGTGTGTGTGTGTGTGTGTCTCAATCATCAATACCGACTAGCTGACCAGTTAATCAGTGCATCAATCCATCAATCAGTACATCATCCAGCAGTTGTTAGCATTGTATTCGTATCATCATCATTGCCATTGTCATTGTGGCACGTGTTATGATCACCATCATCATTCACGGTTTTCCATTTGTGAAGAGTTCATTTTGTTAACGTCAATATAATTCTGGTTTAACCAAGTGGTTCCGAATGGGACCTGTCGAAGAAAGAAATGAGAAGTGACTGGGTGTTAACTACTCGAGTCTAGAAACGAGAAGTGACTGGCTGTTCGCTACTCAAGTCTTGACTGGATCTCTTTGTGGGCAGAGGTTGCCTTGCTTTGACGTTCAATATCGTGTTGGAGAGGCGAGACCAGGGGGGGTGGAGATTCTCTGAGTGTGGAAAGAACTTGAATTTGATTTCCACAACAGATTGCCTGTTGACAACGGATTGCCTGTTGGTACTTTGTGCATGTGCGTGTGCAGGATAGCGTGTATATTGAGAGTGTTCTCCTTGCACGGCAGCTTGGAGTGAATGCTATTATTGTTTTGGAACAGGTGAGTTCCCCCTTCCCCCCCTCGGCCCCCCCTTTTTGATTTCATGGACGTCACACGTACGGTCTATCCATTGACGTTTAGAGACTCGATTGCCACGCTCTGTGCGTGTTTGAAGTTTCTCACAAGGAGGATGATGGGCATCAGATCCCTGCAGCTTCCCTCAGTGAAGCCTCCTACTTTGCAGTTGTTGGAGCAAAGACATTAGTATATGTTGACATCAATAACTTTGCAATGCATTAAACATAGACATCAATTACTGCAGAATGTGAATTCTATTCTCCACGACCGGGTGGGGACTCAGCTGTGACAGCCTGTCAGAAGTATGAAATGTAAACCATTCAACGAAAGTCCTGGAACAATGAAACAGAAAAAAAAAGCTGGGATGTGATAGTCATATATCTACTCTCATATATAAGTGAGATCTGGCGAGAGAGCTTTCCATGTACTATGAAGACGTGATGCCTTGATAACATTGGTCAGCCTTGATTTTTTTTATTTTTTTTTTTCTGATAACTGACCTGGTGATGGCAGCTGTTACGTGTGTATCAAAACCGGTGCAGTCACGAAGAGAAAGGGAAAGAGGCAGAACTGATGTATGAAGGGGGTGACTTTCCTTCAAGCTGGGTCCTGGGGGGGATTCATGGCTGGGTTGCCGATGTATCAAATGGAAATTGGTTTGGAACATTTCTTTTGGCATGATTAGGAGCTTTCTGGTTGAGATTGATGTATTTGTTTGTGCGTGTGAATTTCTGTACGTCGATCTCCTTGTCAGTTGTCTTCCTTGACCGGTTGGTCTGTTTGTGATTTGTCAGTGATCTTGTTAGGCGGGTGATTTATTTTTGGTATCTATGACTGTGAATATGTGAGCAGATGGATGAACTGCAGCTTGTGATTGATATAAGCCGTCGTCTTGGAGCAAAGCCTGTGATTGGAGTCCGTGCAAAGCTCAGCACAAAACACAACGGGCACTGGGGAGAGACATCTGGCGATAAGGGGAAATTCGGCCTTACTGTCATGGAGATGGTGCAGGTTGTCTACACACTGAAGCAGGTCAGTTAAGTGTGAGTTTGTTTAGTTCTCGAGTTTCCCTGGTAGCGAGTTTGTTTAGTTCTTGGATTTCCCTGGTAGTGAAGATCCTTCCAATCCAGGTTCACAAAGGGACGGAAACACTTGGATTTTCTTAACATGTCGTGGGCTAGCAAGTCGTGAGAGGAAGGAAGCTGGCATCCCAAGGAGTCCTTCCAGACACGTTTGCTGGAGCTGCCTGAAAAGCTCGGATGATGAGGCCAGTGCTGACTAGCTGGAGGAAGATTCACTCCCCCAGCCATATGAGACCATCACAGAGTCCGGGCAAAGAAGCAGAGAGATCATAATTGTGCACACATGCATTATATATTCAGCCAAGTTCATGTATGCACCTCATCTGAAGTATTGCCTCTTTTCGATTGTGTTTGTTAGGACACACACAGACACACACACACACAGACACACACACACACACACACACACACACACACACACACACACACACACACACACACACACACACACACAC